AAGTTTAAATACTAACTAACCACTTCTTTCATAGAAAATTCAACATCTTTTAACCCCGGCTGCCAGGATAAATGATGACATGCTGATGCGGGGTTTGTCTAAACAGTGGGCAGAAGTTAAGAGGCCCTTCACTGGCTTGCCAGCCTGAATATGAGCCAGGCTTGTGTTGCCTGTTGATTTGGACTGCTTTGGAAAGGCTAGAAACACACCCACACGAACTAAAGGAGCACTTCAAGGCCTCAAATCTGGCAGTGCAGCTGTGCAAAGTTCACATTCGCAGCGATTAGCCCTACAAAGACACAAAGGAAACACTGAGTCAGTAAGAAATACAACAAAAATCACTCTTTTCTGTTGCTCTATTAAGTCACCCTGCACAGGTTTGCTATAGGTAAGATTGGCTGATGTCATTTAAATACCTAAGATTCCGATGATCAATTCATCTTTAAGGAGATGGCATATTCCACTGTTCGGATGCATCCTTGACTTGAATACCTGGTCTACAAGAGGGACTGTGCCCTACTGGACCAGAAACCGATGGCTCTCATAAGGTTTCTGCCTGGCTGTGTCTGAACCAAGTTAACAAGCTGCATCTAGAGTTGGACAACCATGATTCAGCTCTCCACCACCACAGAGTAAATGCTACACCATAAGACCCCAACGACCAAAATCATAAGCAGATGTGCTCGATTTGCACTGTTTTCATTTTATTTTTTTACAAACAAAAATGATTTTCCACAGTAGCATTCAATCAGAAGTGGCCTGAATGTGAGTATTTTGTGCTGTTGCACATTTTTCACATTTGCAGATTAAAACAATATGTATTTTGTTGTTTGACATACTTTCCTTTGATAGAATGAAAACAAGCAATGGTCACTGGCATGCTACTAGAAATAAACTCTATCCAATGCCCTGGATAGTTTTTGTTATTAAGTTAATTATAATTTGGGCCTTTATTTTATTTTTTCAACTGTATTATCTACTGTACTTGAATTACATGACATTTCATACTTTTACCATTGAGTGACATCTCAACCATTTGGTAGAGATCAATATTTTAAAAACTCCAGGGTCTATTGAAAAAAAAAAAAGTATTGATTGTGGTGATTACTCACCCAAGTCAATAAGAAAAGCAAACAAATTTTTTTCCATTGCTTTTTTCTTGGCGTGGACCTCAAAGAGTTAACACTGACACATATTCTTCTAGGTGTAACTGAAGATCATTGGCTTTTTTTTTTTTAAGTGTAAAGAATTGTTACTGTCATGTTTCCACTATTTTTCAACATTTCTTGGACTAAATCACTTATTAAATAAAGTAAAGGAATAACTAATGACTTTTTATTTTGCTGCCTCCCAGTTAAAGTTACTTCAAATGCACAGACGCACAGCTGGTGTACTTTACAAGCAGCAGATGTATCCTCTCGGAATAATTCAGATCCGTTTTGTGGAGTGCAGCCTGCTTGCAAGAAAGGCATGAAAGACTACGGCTGCCAAGGAAAGGCCCACTCATCGAGATCAAAATCCTTCTGCCGCACTCTAGACAGGCTCTTAAAAAAAGGTCATTACTTAGAAAGAAAACTAGGGAAGGCAGCTGACCCATTGTTACACTGAATATGAATTCCTTAAGAGAGAGAGAGGAAAAGGGAAGGATGGGAAGGCCTAGTCTGATTTTCAAGGCTTTTGTTTGCATACCTCTCCCTCACCCAGCATAAACAGCCTCCCCTCAGAGGAGTAAATCATTTCTTTAACAAGGTCACGAGCGAAGCTGCCACTAGCAGCATTTACTGAATGAAAGAAAAAAGAAAAAAAAAAGTGTATGCATAGTTAAGAATGAAAAGTAAGGGGGAAGAAGACAAAACGCAGACCGTGAGATGAAGAGAAATTGCAATTTAGTACCATTACCTAGTCAAAAACATCACATCCATTTCTGTGTTTTAGTGGAAGGACATGGACGTCAAACATTACACGGATTTCCATCTGTGTTTGCAAACTTTGAGGTTTAACTTGACCCAGTGCAAAATTTTCACTCTTTCCACATCTGTCCAGGAGGAAACAACAATGGAATGACAGTGGAAATCAATGAAAATCCATTGTGTCACCTTTCCATCTGTTGAACGCAAGGATTAGGAACATTCGGAAAGGGAGACGAATAAAAACAGGAAACCGGAGATCATGTTAATATTTCCGGGTGTCGCGCATCACTTGGCCAATTTTATATGTCAACTGCAGAGCAAGCAAGTGACAAAGTATCCAAAATGTATTTTGACACAGCACAAGGACTCAAACTGCTCCGCATTTCCACACAACCCTTGCCCTCTATCCTATAGTCTACTTCCTCTCCCCCAGGAAAGATGCATTCTGTGAACCTCCACGTAGACAGGATGTTTGGAAAACTCACACAACTGAAGTCTGCTTAACAGACACGTACACAAGGAGAAAAAACTATCCCCTTTCTTCTTGTGACCCAAATTGTGTCCCGTCTAAAAACGACACAGAAATGCAAGCTCAGCGCCAGCGTTCGTATGCCAGCCCTATTCTCAGGAGTGCATCTGCATTCACAGCCGTGACGAGCCAAAAGGGCACAAAGGGCAAAGGCGGTCAAGCTCGGCGGAAAATTCTCATGGAGCTCTGAGGCCCGCTTGGTCCCGATACCAGTTCCCTGACCAGAATCGCAGGAAACCCACACAGGAAACAGTTTCACACAACAGGACCGCAACGCTTCCTCCCAAAAACAAAAAGTAACCAAATCTCTGCTTCGTACAACACAACCCTCACCGCACCCCTGAAAACACAGAATCCGGGACAGTTGATGTTTATTTTCTCCACCCAGCAGCCATATAATCAAGCTTTCTGCTCAAAAACCAACAAGGAACAAACAAACGAGAAACAGCCATCACGTCAAAATGAGAAACAAAAAGTCGTTATCACAAGCATGACTGCGAACGTTGTGTTCACTGTAAACTTTAATTACTTAAACCAAATGGGCAGAAAAGTACCCTCAGCTTGTGTGGTAAATCTTTGGCCTTTAACTCAGTGTTTCAAGTCTGTGCACAAGAAAACTGAATCAAATGTGATCAAAAAGTCAAAAGCAATCATCCCATTATTTAAAAAAAATAAAAACGATATTCAACCAAACACCTTAAAAAAAAATCAAAAGGTGCTCAAAATAGCATCTGACCAGAACTTTTTGATCGCACCTCTTACATTCGGGAATGTGAACATTAAAGATGACACATTCTACTGTGATGCCATAACACAACACCTTTATAGAACAAGCCTAATGAATGTTTGTCCAAACATTGGTGAGAACTTATTAAAAATGCATAAAAGCCAATGTTCCACTTGTATACAATCCTGTTTAACAAACATATATTAGGATTGGGTTTAATGGAAGCCTGTCCAGCAGAGAGTCTCTCTGCTCTCATTTGCAGCAGATGGGTGCCCATTCCTGAGCCTGGTTTTGCCTGGGGATTCTTCCTGGTAAAAGGGAGTTTTTCCTTCCCACTGTCACCAAGTGCTTGCTCATAGGAAAAAAAGAGAAATATACATAAATAATAATAATAATATCAAAAACAGGAGTACACTAGAGATAGTCGTCAGTGTTTACTGGATTAAAAAAAAAGCAGAGACATTAAAGTTTTACTCTTTTATTCTCTGTGATGTCATCATCCAAAACTGAATCCTTGCTTTGGACTTTAATCACAACTTCTAAAAATGCACAAATAAACTTGGGAAAACCAAAAATATGCATCCTTCATGTGGGGTTTATTCAATTTTAAAAGTGCCCCAGCTTCCCATAGAGTTTGACTAATCACGTTGGCTGCAAGGACAAGATTTGGGCGTAGTGTCACAAATATGTTGGTGCGTATGTGCTTTCTGTCCACATGGAAGAAATATCCTTGTGGTATCACATGTCTAATTCTTCTTAAGGTAAAATCTCAAACGCCTAATAAAAGCCAGATGTTGTGAGAAGCAGAGTTTTGTTATCATCATCACAACCAAATTAAAGTGTTTCCCTAGCACAGCTGCATGAAACTGGATCAGGCGGATCCCCTGGCCGAGAGCTTCACCTGTCCACCGAGCTAAACTGCCATTAAGATAAAGAGCCCTGGGAGGAAAAAAGCCAATCAATCATCCTTTCTTTAAGGATCTCAGCGGAACGCTTTCTCCGGCAGCAGCGGAGCAAACCCATTTATTCCATAAGATATTCATCAGAAGCTGCTCAGCTGAGCGGGATAACGACTATTTAAGAGGGGCTGTGCACAGGTCTCACCTCAAGGGTCTGCATCAGCGTGGGCTTGATAGCATCTTTCATTAACACCGCCAGAGCCCCACTCACACCCTGACGGAGAGGAAGAGAGTAAAATAAGGGTGCTGGCTGGAAAACAGAGCAGGTTATCAAGATTCAGACAAAACTTTGAGCTCGTTAATACAAACAACTGATAATGTAAAGTATAGTCAAACAGCTGTCCACTTTGGATGATAAATGTTTTTACAGTCCATTTGCAAGTTTCCGTCCTGCATGCAAGTAAATCTTGCTTTGCACAAAATGCTCTGTCAGCAACGTGGACACATTTTCACACACACACACACACACATACACACACACACTTCCACTGGGCAGGCATTGATGTGTGGTTGTGTTTTCACATCCTGGCATATCAGAGATGCTAATGCAACTTTATGGACGTTCCTCCTCTACAGCTCTGAAACATCACAGTCATGTGTGGGAAACCAGAGCCTGAAGAATCTACAATGGGTCGCTAAAACTTAAAGTTTTCCAGTGCTCGGGATCATTGACATGTCGCATGACCCAGCTTTGACCAAGCTTTAACTGTTGGATAAATGGCCTCACATTTGACTCTAGAATACTTTGGTATACAGAAGAGTTCACGGTTGCCCAAATCCTCCCTCTATTACCGTGCTTGCCACTTGGTATGAGGTTTTTGTGCTGATATGCTGTGTTGGTTTGGTTGGTTGATGCAAGCTCAATCATCCAAGTAAGGAAATCTCAGAAAGTTGATTCTGAGAATACAGGCTTTCTCTTGGCAACAATTCCAAAAGAGCCACACCTGTTCAGTCCTTTTTTGTAACTAATTTCACGACCTTTAACATTTAACATGTTAACCGAGGCCTGTGAAGTCTGAGATTAACACTCGGGTTTTCTGCTTGTGTTCTCTGACCATTACACGGTCGGACTTCATGGTGAATTAGCTGGGACATTCACTCCTGGGAAGATTGGAGCATTGTACCAACTCACAGCTGAATGCTCCAGAGTGAAAAAAAAACTTCCACTTTCTACACTACAAGTGTTTTTCTTCCACTATATACAGTTAATTTCTCAAATTAAGATTTGAAGATGTTTCGTATCACTTAAATAAATCAAAGATAGCTTGATAAGGACTAAAACCATTATCTTTCTATAACTCTTCTTTACAGTCTTAAGCACAAAAACAACTTTTTTCAGAACAAATTTTTTAAAAATCCATATTTTTGGTCTAAAATTCTCTGAGTTAGACAGCAATAATACTTCCACACTTACAAATGAGATTACAACACTAAATACATACGAGGTCCTCTGCTGTGATAGGCTGTCCAGAGCGGCTGGTCCCCACCACCATGCGTGCCAGCCTGTTCTTCATGTCCCCGAGGCTGTCAGCCAAGGCCAGGATGGCCATGATCTCACTGGCCACTGCAATGTCAAACCCAGTCTGGGGTGTGAGAAAAGAAAAATCACTTGCGACATAAACCAGGACTGTAGTTTCAGCAGTTCTTTTATACACTTGCTAGCGGAGAGCTGAAAACAAATGTTTTACCTGCAGTAAAGTTTAATGGATGAGTTTGTTTGGAGCTAGAATGCAAAATAGTAAGCTTAAGCCTTTACAATCTAATTTATCTTTCTCAGACTCAAGAATAAAAGCTTTAAGTGAATAAAATGTTTTGCACAGCGTGGGAAGAAAACTGGCAACTTTTCTTCAAAACGGCAGTCACCAGGCTTATCACATGAGAAAGAGAATAAAGTCCTATGAACATGGCCTAGTTTCGGATCAGCTAATTTGATGAAGAAAACTTAAAAAAAAAACTATAAACATGTTTAACTTGTTTTGATACGAGTTTCTGTCATGATTTATGTTTAACAAAAAAAGGATGGAGAGAACAAGAAAACATGAGTAAGTAAGGTTAGAAAAAAAAAAGCATAAAACCCACAATAATCCCTCAAGGAATATAAGAATTCTATTCCTACTCCCACTGATAATAACCCGAGGGGCTATAGTATAACCAGCACTGGAGAAAGTGCAGGGCAGTGGAAACAGAATGGATTTACCAATGATCATAAATATATCCATATGGTGAACTAGCTTAGAGACTATTCTAGGTGTGTACGTGTGTGAGTGTAGATGGATGGGTGGGTCATTTTTCTCATTCTCTAAACATTTGCTTTCACTTAGGCCTGCTAGCTTCCCACTGACGTGAAATGTTTATTTAGAGAATTTCATTTAGCTGCCATTACTACAGATGTATGGTGGTGGTGGAGGGGGCTGATTACATCTGGGCTGTATCATGAACAGAGGAGCATGTGCAGAGGGGAGTGTATCAGAGTGGACATGCATGAGAAAGATTTTAGTCATGGTTTTGCTATATTAAAAAGCAAAAAATAAAACAGAGATATCCGAGGCCAGGCCATGTTAATAGTAATATGACGCTCCACCAGGTCTGTGAAGGTTCTCAGTCATCCAGGTCATCGTAGTCAAAGGAGCTTGACAAGAAAAGCGTCTGGACTTCTTTAAGTTACTTGAAGACGTTTCACCTCTCATCCGAGAAGCTTCTTCAGTTCTAAGGTCAAATGGTGGAGAGTCCCAGATATAAACCTAGTGGGAGTAACCCCCCACAGAGGGACAAAAGGACCCCCTGATGATCCTCTAATCGCCTGAGCCAAGGTGTGAAACTGGGTGTGGGTCCCAATCAGCCAGAGTTTCGGGTGAGTTCATTGTGAAACCTGGCCCCACCTTATCATGCGAATTCCTGAGATCAGATGGCCCAGGATGTGAGTGGGCGTTAAGGCGTCTGGGAAGGGATCTCAAAAAAAAAAGGACACTCTTTCGAGGATGCCAATGTTCACATTTTGGACAGAGAGGACAGATGGTTTGAAAGAGGAGTGAAAGAAGCCATCTATGTCCACTGTGAGCGACCATCTTTGAACAGAGGCGGGGGTTTACGACACCAACTCTCTGCCATCTATAATCCAGTTTTGAGATCCCTTCCCAGACGCCTTAACGCCCACTCACATCCTGGGCCATCTGATCTCAGGAATTCGCATGATAAGGTGGGGCCAGGTTTCACAATGAACACACCCGAAACTCTGGCTGATTGGGACCCACACCCAGTTTCACACCTTGGCTCAGGCGATTAGAGGATCATCAGGGGGTCCTTTTGTCCCTCTGTGGGGGGTTACTCCCACTAGGTTTAAATCTGGGACTCTCCACCATTTGACCTTAGAACTGAAGAAGCTTCTCGGATGAGAGGTGAAACGTCTTCAAGTAACTTGAAGTCCAGACGCTTTTCTTTGCAAGCTCCTTTGACGACGCCCCACCAGCTACATCTTTACAATGTAAATAAACTGCTGCACCATTGTTCTTCATTATAAAGTAAGTTCATGTGAAGTTTTCTGTTTAAATGAACAAATTACACAAATCCAGGGTGAAAAGTATGCAACATGGTTTGTTTGTTATTTTAAAGAATCATAATTTTCACAGCCTGAGTGATTCATACCACAGTTATTATACTTTAGTATATTCAACACACTTTACATTGTTACTCTTGTTTTAATTTGGTCTCATTTTGTTTTGAGAGTGGATTTGCTCAGCTCAGTTTAATTTTAGTAGAGCTTTTATTTGTTAGTCTATTTTAGTATTATTGTGTGGAGGGAATAAGCTGGAGGTAAGGAAAACAGTATAGGCATTACAATAAAAACCCTTGAAAAAAGTTGGCTCACATTCTTGTAGACGTCAAAAGTCTTAATAAACACGTCCATTACAGCCTCGTCAGGCAGGTTGTGATAACACACTGTACCAATTTAACAAAGACTAAACTAAGTCACTTTAATTTTCCAACTTCCCAAAATTGTTTGTTAGGTAAATGGAATGCTTTTCCACTTTTATTCCACTATAATGCCATACCTCTCTGATCTGTCCTTTCTCAGAGCTTGCCTGTCCGATGGTGATCTTCCTCAAAAAACGGTCATTTGTATCAACAACTGGAAAAAAAAGACAAAAAGAAACATTTTTTTTTTGGGCAAACCTTGTTATATAATCTATAACTCTGACCATGAAACATTCACCTTTTGACATGGTGCAGTTGCCTTATGTGAAATAATATGCCACAGAAAAACATTATTCACATTTCTGATTAATTTCATGTTAGATTAGATTAAAAAGCACTTTTCTTTAAAGAAAACACACAAAAAAACCCAACAGGACTACAGTACGTGACTGTAAGAGCCCATAAACTGTGATTAATTGATCTGATACCTGAGCCACAAGGAAAATGTATGTTTTTACAGCGTTAGCCTGACACACTGTAAAAATTCATCTTTACACGTTTATAAATACTACCCCATAACGTGTGTTTATCTTAAAATGGATTAGCTAATGAAGGTTTCCTCACTCAGCACTTAAGGCTACTTTCTGATAATGCGGTTAGAAATTCACTGCGCTCAGCCAGGAAATCATTTTAGGAGACATTATTCCTGTGTTGGTTTTGTAGAATGAAAGAACCTTCCCTTTCATGAAAAAAGGAAAGTGTGTCCATTAAAAAAAACAAGTTTAGGAAAAAAGTTAAGCAAGAATAAGTCCCGTGAACACATGAAACAAAGTCACACTGGGTGCTGAACCTGTTTTTAATCTCCAGAGTTTGTTTATGATGAGTGACCCCAAAGCCGACAGAGTAAAATACCACGTCGGTCAAAGCAGCACCTGGCCGGCTGTCTCACAGGCAACTTTAAACGAACCCAGCTATCACTGCTGTAGCTAATTCCACAGCTGCCGTACCCACGTTTATAATCTTGTGACTGATGGTCTGACACTTTACATTAATTTAATATGAAGCCATTTTTGTATTCATTATATAAGAAAGGAAATTACCTTCTATTTCAAGACTGCATGTGACATTCCTCAGGAACGGCCCAATAAGACACTTACATTGCAGAGCATGAGATGTTTGTCAGACATTTTTTATGATAATTAGATTTGTGTGATAGTCATGATATTGCTTTTTGACTGCGAGTACATCCGAGTGCAGACAATCAGACTGGTGTTCTGAAGCAGCCCCTTTGCACCAGTTTGAAATATAAGGCATCTCTGCTGCGGTGTTGTTCACATTTGGCCAGATTAAGATTGCGTGCTTTACACCGCCGCTGCTATAAAAACCACTTGACTGCATAAGCAGTTGGAGATTGTAGGGTTTAGTAACATGTTACTGTAATTACGTTTTTCTCTGCAACAACACTATCGGAGATTCAGTAATCGCAATAATGCTGCTTAGCAAAGAATTATGTTACTTATGCCATTACCTGTATTACATACACTTAGCACTTTTAATAGTAATAATAATAATAATAATAATAATAATAATAATAATAATAATGGATTGCATTTATATAGCGCTTTTCGAGACCCTCAAAGCG